AGGGCAGCGTCATGACTCCGAAGGCTGCCCAGTCCAGCTGTGGAGGACGACAGAGGCCCCGCTTACAAGTCTGGATGAGGGCATGGGAGGGCCAGGACGGAGGTAGGCACCGAGAGAGGGAGCGGCGCAGCCCAAATGTTCAGCAGAACCTCAGCACAAAGGCCCCTCTGGCTGCTCCTGACAGAAGGGCTCTCTGCACACCAACCTATCTTCCAAGCTATGGCGTCCAAGGCCTCACCTGACCTGACCCAGACTGGAAGAGAAGCTTCTCTAGCCCGCCACGGTGTTCCCACTCGACCTTCCCAGCACTCTGCAACTCTCTGAACTTAAGCACATATTCTTTTAAACATCAAAACAGACCCAAGACTCCAAAATGGGGCTCGACTCAGGGCTGCGTAGAGAAAACGGGCAGTTTTTTGGTTGTGGCCATCATGATCTCATGGCCAAAAATCTCTAATCATGGGTAAATCAGGACATTTGGTGGCGGTCTGTGTCAGACCTGAAAGAACAGATACCAACGAGAACCAACAAACTAGACAAATCTAAGGAGACCAAGAGTTCCCCCAACCAAAAGGGTGTGCTCATCCCAGGGGAAAAGAAAGAAGATACTGCGGAGCTTACAAAATGTGGGGAGAACCTCCGATCAAACTCCCGCTGGGCCAGGATTCCTCCCTGTCCGGGGGCGCTGGTAAAGCCAATCTGAAAGGAAGACAAGAAAGGCATTAAGGCAAATCCAAGTCCTTCTCATGTGAGAAAGGGCAGTCCCGACCGACGCAATCCGAAGCATGACATTCTCGGTTCCCAAAGGCGCAAGAGAGCTTCGAGAAGATGCGGGAAAATAAAGAGCTGCATGACTCTCAGTGTGTCGTCGAGGAGTCAATCGGGAGCCAGGAGACACACGATGAGCTTTTTCTCAACAAGGCAGGCCAGGCTTGCAACTGAAGTTAAACCAAATCCTCTCTGTTCGCCTCAGGCTCTGGAAGAGTGGCTCACACCCCTGACCTCTCTGCAGGACGAGGTGTGATGGAAGGACTTGCCCTTGGCAACGGCTGCCCTGTTCTTCCAGTGGAAATGCTCTTCCACACCTCGCCAACTGACAGGAGGCTCCAACGACCTAAGGAGCATTCGGGAAAGCACGGAGCCCCACCCAGACGCACACAGGAGAGGCGGGGCCGGGGCCGCAGCATTCCTGCCTGGAGAGTAGGCCAAGAGCTGCAGCGCTCTGCAAACAGCCTCGCTCAGAAGTGGCAGCTGAGCCTTTGATTTTGTGTCTCTTAACCTATCAACTACCAGGTAGAAGCAGAGTTCTAAAGCTGCTTCTGAAAGCAGAAAGGACACAAGATGTGAAAACCGAACTAGGATTACGAGAATATGGTTCCATGGGGTTTGTAAAAAAAAATGCACAAAGTGCAGCAAAGGTCAGAGACTCTTAGATTTCTTTAAGTCCTACGGTTGACCTGTTGAGTGTTTCCCCCACTGTGCATTCACTACGCAGCCTTCAGCCCACTTTGACATCTCGTCAGAGGCCTCCAAACTCACGGCCAGAGACGGTGTCCCCATCTTCTTGGTGTTCCCCAGATCCTAGCACACTACTGGAGCTCAATAAAATGTCTGCTGACCCGTTTGACGACTGATCAAAGGATTGTTTACTACTGATTTTCTATTATATGTGAGAGAAAGAGAGACATCGAAGACAAAGTCCCCGGCCTCAACGAGTTTATGATTAAACTGGGGGGGGGTTGGGTAAAGACCTACACATACGAAAAAGAGGTACTAAGACAGCACACAGTTAAATTGAGTGAAGGAGGCCGTCAGGGCTCTAGAAGCTTCTATGCAGTCAGCAATCGTTTGCTGAAAGAGCAAGGACAAAACCATGGGGTGTAAAAGCAGAAGAGAGAAACAAGGGCACGCAGTCCAAAGCTGGGCCTTGAGAGAAGAGGGAGAATGAGAATGGGGGCGGGGGGGAAGGGGCTCGGCCTCCTGAGGGCGGAATGTGCTGGAAAGCTGGGGACAGAGAACAGCTACACGACCAGAGCATCTGCAGCAGGAGCCGTCCCAGCAAGGGACAGACAGACACAGTGGAGACTGGGAACGAGCGCACAAGACGGGCGGGAGGGGCACAGGCGGCCACACACTGCGTGGCAAGCCACACGGTCCAGATTAGAGGCAAAGCAGGAGGGAGGATGAGGAGAGAGGCCATGGTTCTCCTCTCCCAACATCTCAACCGCTTCATTCTGGATCGTCACAATTTGAAACCTCCTTCCTTCCCAAGGGCAGCACCTCAGCTTCTGGTCCTTCTTACCGTCCTCAGCATTGAGTGGTTGCCTTGGAAAGTTTCTGCAAGTTTCCAAAGGCAAGCAGATCTAGGCCCATCCAGCTAAGGTTTGGGCAACTTACCACGACGGGCCCATCCTCCTGGGCCAGGTAAGTAACAGTTGCCGAGGTGAAGTTGAAATAGCCGGCCTTGAGCGGGCGCAGGACCACGGTGTGGGAGACGTTGCTGGCGCTGGCCCGACAGTCAAGGAAGCAAGATGATGAAGCTGAGGTTGAAACATCCTTTCAACGTGTGGACTGGATGCACCGTTCACAAAAAGGCTGGCCCACACATGTGATTTCACGTCTGTGATCCTCTGCGGGAATGATAAATACAGACCTTTCTCTAAGCCTGAAACGGGGGGTATAACAGGATGTCTTCCCAGCCAAGAGTAAGGGGTCTCGGAGACACTCAATAGGCAGGTTCACGCTGTATTCAGTCCTGGCTTTCTGAAGTCAACTTTCAAAGCAACACATACGACGGGTGAAAAATCATTCTCACAGAAACTCACTAACTGAAGGAAGACTGAAAATACAAAATAAAAACAAAAAAACCGAAAGAGAACACTTATCCTCATTGGTAAATCTAAATACTTTCATTCACCGGGGGGGGGAGTTAATCTAATTCCACTCGGGAAATAACTGGTGGATGCCGATAAGAGACCCACTGAATGAGAAATGCCTTTAGGAGGCCGCCCGGGGCCTCCGCGCTAGCAGCCAACCGACTTTCTTCTAAAAGCGGCTTAAATATCCTCGTCTAGCCACAAACGGCCTCCTAAGCATCTACCTCGTCCCCATACAGTGTGTCGTAGCACCTTATAACCTGAACTCAAGGACCCTCCTTCCTCAGGTCTACCCTCAACCACGCTCGATTTTCTACTATCCCATCTTTTCTGGAGAGGACACAAAGAACGGCCACATGCAGCCAGACTATGGGAAGTGACCTTGCCGATTTGTTGGCCATGTGATCATGTCTTCCCCAACACCAGCCTTCACCACCCAGTGTCAAGGATACGGGGCAATCCGGTCCCATTTGACATTGAGCATTCCGGAAACAATGCCAAAGTCCTCCGGAGGGAAGGAATCATCAGATAACTCCACGTCTAACGCAGCGCTACAAAATGGAGAGACAAAAGAGGTTAGTGAGTAACAGATACAGAAGTAAAGGAATCAGCAACTGGGGGCACCTGGCTGGCTCAGTCGGAGCGGCACAGGATTCTCGATCTTGCGGTCCTGAGTTCGAGCCCCTCATTGAGTGGATTACTTAAAAATAAAATCTTAAGAAAAAAGGTAATCAGCGATTAAATATGCCTGCTTGTCCTAAAAAATGAGAACTACAAAAGACAGATATGAGTCACACAGTAACTTGGGTTGGCTGTACTGAAGGATCAAGGTCAAGGACTGGATTCTCTGCCTAAGAAGCACCAAGGAAGGAATGGGCCCACATTCTCTCCTGCCCCAATTTCTGCGTGTACGTGTGTATATACAGAAGGGGAAGGGAAGCAAGACCCATATGGAAGGGAAAATTAAAGCGAATAAAACTAAAGAAAGGCAACACACATGCTTACAGGTTAACGAAAGAAAGGAAGCTGAAACCTGCAGGCCCGGAGGCAAGGAAGGATCGGATCTCGTCTTCCTCCCCGGTTCACCCTCATTCTTGCTTCTTCTCCCCTCAGAAACTCTCCCAGCTCCAAAAAGTGGAAGATGGTCTCTGGGAGCTATGGGGAAGTAGGTCCAGGAGTGCGTTCACTCGCTCCTGACACCTGTTGCTGCGTGTTCCCCAAGGTCTCCGTCCCCAGCTGGGAAATCAAAGAACTTCAAAAGGGCGCAACCTGCAGCCCCCGGGCCCCCTCACCTCGAGCCGACATTGTAGATGTTGTACTGTAAGGTCAGGTCTCGCCCCTCCACGGCGTATCTGTTCAGCAGTGACTTGGAGGCCAGCAGCCGGGCTCCGTCCTCTGCATGACTGACAGCAGCAAACAGGGCCAACAACACCGCTGCCAGCAGCCTCATCTTCGGGGGGAAAACGCCAAGTGGGCCATCAACTCAAGCACGCAGTCGCAGCTCAAGGTTCCTGGCAGCGCCCCCTTACCAAGTCAGCCAAAACTCTCTTAATCTCACCAAAGCAGCAGGCCCCTCCTCATCAGCCAGCAGGGCTGACCCACACGCCGGAATCTCCCACCTGTGGGCCCCGCCGCCCTCTTCCCGTCGGGGGGCCGGGGAGCCACCGGCTGGCGGGGCCGTCCCTCGCACAGGCCTCCTCCGCGCAGCCCCAGCGGGTCCTCCCCACGCACCCTGCCCGGGCCCCACCCCTCCGGGCCGCCCCATCCCTTCCGTGGGTCCCTCCGGGGCTCAGCCCGCTCGGCCCTCCTCCCCTTCTCGCCAGGAAGGCAAGTCCCCCGCCGGCGCGCCCCTCTCGTCCCCGCCGCGGCCGGGCGGCCCCTCCGCCGCCGGGCTCTACGCGGACCCGGCCGCCACCCCGCCCGCGCCTCCAGGGCTCGGCGCTCACCGTGCGCACCCCACGGGCCTTTCCCGGGCCACCACGACCGGAAGAGAGCGTCAGCGGCCCGAAGGCCGGACGTGAGCTCGGGCCGGAAGCCTCGGTGCTCCGCGCGATGGCTCCTGGGAATTGTAGTTCCCGACCAGGCCCCGCCTCTGGCTCTGCGGCGCCGACGCGCGCTCTTGCACCCGAGAGGGCCTGCGCTCGCGCGTGCGGCCGCCCCGGGCGAGTGCCCTGCGGGCTGGGTCGGCGGCCGGCCGCGTCCAGTGCGCCGGCGAACTACGAACCACGGGAAAGCTCTTCGTCTCAGGGCTACCGCCATCCTTCCCGCTTCCAGGCGGCAGACGTGGTCCTCCCCGCATCCAGGAAGTCGCCAAGCCCCGAGCGTCTCTCAGAAGCCCTTCGAGGTCCCGGAAAAGCAGTCCTTTCTTCCCGGTGCCGGCTTAACCGCTTTGGCCCGTGCTCACCACCGTTTGCTGTGCTCACTGCAGTGCGCGCCCTGCCTTGGGTCTTTCCCTGCACTTTTCCGTCAGCTGCCAGGCAGATGCCCCCAAACAGCGTCCTGGAAAAGGCTGCCTGTGAGGTTCTGCGCTGGTGGATTCGGGTCTCAGGTGTGCCGCTTGCCGGCAGGTGTCACTTCCGTGAAGCCTTGGTTCTCAAATCTGTGCAGTGAGATAATTCCAGCACTCTCCAAGTGTTGGAAGTCAGATAATGTCTGTGAGACTCTGAGCACATCGTCTGGCACAGGTGTGAGCTTGGTAAAGGCTAACCATCAATATTGCTATTATTCTGATTCTCCGTTGCGGCATTTCTTCGTTCAGCACGCATTAATTGTGCACCTGGTTTGTGCCTGCACTGTTACAGGTCATGAGGATACAGTGCCGAGGAGGACGGAGAAGATTTCTCCTTGCTGGGGACTTAACGTTCTCGTGGGATAACACACATTTCCTGTATTTGTTCTAGCATGCCCTGCATTCCCCACCTCCCAGACTAGAGCTCCTTGAGGACAGGTTCTAGGTTTGCATTGCTCCGCGCCATGCTGGAGCACGTGGTGGGGACGCCCGGAACCAATGACAACTCGCCTACACACACCCTCCAATCAACTTCTCTTTTCTTCTCCAGCCCATCGGCTCAGGGCCGTGTGGCACTCTCATCCCTTGGCTTTGCCAGACTACGTTGCTCTTTCACGATACTGGACTTTAATATGCTTTGTCCCAGTTGTTTCTGGCCTGAAAAAGCCGTCTGAATGATTAGATGCTATTTCTCCAGCGCACACTTATCCAAAGGTCCCACAGTGCTGCTGAGCACAAAGGAGGTGCTCAAGAAATACTTGCTGACTGTGGGAATTTTTATTCCTTTCCAAAGCATTGTTTTCATAGCAATTTCTCCAGGCTTGGAAAGATACGAAGTGGTTCTCAGACACAGCTGCACACAAAAGGCCTGTATCTTCAGCACACACAGTCTAGATACCCTACCAATAGCCCCTCGGGATTCAGGAGAGAAATGTCTCCAGCCTTACTTTGCGCGTTTATGCACTGACGCTTCTGCCTCTGCCCCTTCCAGTTGAGTCCCTTGTTCACTCATTGATACATTGAGCATCCATTTTGGGGGGCACCTGTCATGCATCAGGCGCTGCGATAGTCATTGTGGGAGATACAGAGATAGGGTATGGTGTCTGCCCTCAAGACTTTAGAACCTAGTGATGGGGTGAGATATACTCATGGCCATAGTGAAAAGGCAAATGGAATGTCAAGCACCCTTTAAAACACACATACACACACACCAGCGGCTCGCGTTGTCCATGGAATCACATCTCTGTCCGACAGTCAAAGCCCTCACTGTCATCCCTACCCCTCTCTGCTTTAGCCAAACAGACCACTCCCTCTTGCCCACTTTCTCACTTTCAGACTTTTGATCAGTGCAAGTTACTGAGTCAAAAAACAATCACTTTTATTGACTTCTTACTATCACCAGCCCTATGCTAGTTTCCAAGAGAACAAACATATATAATATGCACTTGGAAGAGTTTGAAATGGCGGGGGGCTGGCGGGGATGGGGGACAGATAAACAGATTCATGGTGCTGTCCTAAGTGTTCTGAGAGAGGTTAGTATGTAAAGGCCCTGGTCTGCCTTTACATTCTCTTCATTTTGATAAATAAAAGGGTTCTTCATTTTAATTATAATGTTCTCTAAAAAAGCAGTTGATACTGCCTGAGAAATCCTGCCACTGGGTGCTTTGGGTGCACATGTGGACTGCGGACATTTGGGAAGGAAATATACACCAGAGTTACGACAGAACATGACACCTACATCCACCACCGTCAGTGGTGAGCACTGTTCACTAAAGGGACATATATCCAAGTGAGTCTGCTCCGCAAACCCCTTGGAATTATAGATTGCTTTTTCCTTTCTTTCTCTAGAACCAGAGAGAACCTTGGAAAATGCTGTGTTAACAGACCATTTCAACCCCGGCACCCTGACACATCCCACTGTGGATGGGAGAGTCTCAGACAAGGCCTGGGTTGGTGAAGACACATCATCTCTGTCTACAGTCTCCCTATTAGAATCTATTCTGACTAGAAGAGAGATTTCAACAATCAGTTGCTAAGGGAAATGTTTCTGTTGAAAGACTTCCAAACAAATATGGTTGCTTCCTGCCATCCTCAAAGGAACCTCAAACCAAGAAATTGGGTAGAACCTTGTTAAGTGTGCAGGGAACCATGTGCCAGGAACTGAGACATGCAGGGCCAGTGTGAGCTGCTCACTGCTTTCCTGCCCTGTTCCCCCTGATAGTCACGACAGAGCCCAGTCTGCCCACTGGCCTCTCTTTTGAAGGCAACCAAGATAGTGTGTGGCTAAGCTGACAAGGAAATGGCTAACTGCTTTTTGGCTGGTGGCTAGGCGGGCACCCGGAAAGAGCCTTACTGCCAAATCGAGGAGGTTCCGATGGGCATAAGCTAGCTGGAGGGGCATTCTGTAAGAGGTTATGGATTAAATAGGATCATACCACTTTTGAAGAAGCATCCAGAATCACAGCAATGACAGCAAATTTGCAACATTTTTCTTCTTTAGATTCATTTTTTTTTATTATGGTAAATGTATATCTAACCTGGGATTTGCCATTTTAACCATTTAAAATATACAGTTCAATAGCATTAAGGACATTCACATTGTTTGTTATAGAACCATCATCACCATCTCTCTCCAGAAATTTTTCAACGTCTCAAACTGAAACTCCATACCCACTAAACAATAATGCCCGGCCCCATCTCCCCACCAGCCCTGGCGACCACTACTCTACATCCTGTTTCTATGAATTTGACTACTTCAGGTACTTCATAGAAGTGGAATCATGCAATAAGCTCGTTTTATTTTACACAAATAATTCATGCTGATATTCTCAGTGAAACAAAATCAAATACGGAAATAGTGAGTCTAAATGTCCGGATGCAAATTTAGATGCCCAAGAAATGTTGACTACCTTATTTTTCTGTAATCAAACCTAGTTTCTATTTCCAGCCCTTTTTCCATAGAGTAGCAGCGACTTAATCTCTGTTGATGCAGGGACTCCCCGGTCATTTTCTCCAGAGCAGCCTCTAATTTTCTAGAGGGCTCCCGACATGCCAGGTGCATGGTGCTTGGTTATCAATACTTTTTTTTCCTCTTAGCTATGGGATGTCCTTAGGAATCATCAGGAGAGTTTTTTTTTAAGATTTTATTTTTTTATTTTTATTTTTATTTTATTTTACTATTTTTTTGAAGATTTTATTTATTTGACAGATAGAGACACGGCGAGAGAGGGAACACTAGCAGGGGGAGTGGGAGAGGGAGAAGCAGGCTTCCCGCGGAGCAGGGAGCCCAATGCGGGGCTCGATCCCAGGACCCTGGGACCATGACCTGAGCCAAAGGCAGACGCTTAATGACTGAGCCATCCAGGCGATCCATGATTTTATTTTTTTTTAAGTACACATTTCTTTGCCATCTAGTGTTTTATTTTTTTAAAAGGATTTTATTTATTTAACAGAGAGCAAACACAAGCAGGGGGAGCCGCAGAGGCAGAGGGAGAAGCAGGCTCCCCACTGAGCATGGAGCCCGATGTAGGGCTCGATCTCACCACCCTGAGATCATGACCTGAGCTGAAATCAAATCACTTAACTGACTGACCCACCCGGGTGCCCCCTGGTTATCAATACTTTTCCTTTCTGGCATCCATTAAGACATGCGATCCTGTCTGCTCTGAGGCTATGGGTTCCATCGGAGCCCAGCCACACCCCCTCAGCCTTATCCAAGCCTCCCCAGGCATAGTGACCCTCCCCCCTTTCCCTCCCTCTACTTCCTCTGTCTCTGGAGCCACAGGGGACTTGGTTGTTCTCTCCAAGCCCATCACTTCTTCCTTGATACTCAAGGGCATTCCTCAGTTCTGCAAGCCGGGCTGAGACTGGCATGAGCAGGAATCTTGAATCTTGTCTTAGTCCCCCTGCCTGGGCACACCCCAGTGCTGGCCAAGAACAAGAACATTTTCTTCCATAATCACCATAACATCATTGCACCCACGAAGTTTGGCACTGACACAATATTTTATTTTTTGACGTAGAGTCCATATTCAATTTTCTCCAAAACGCCCTCTATGACTTTCAAAGAGAATCTAGGGTCCTACGAAGGGTTACATATCGCAGCATTGCATTTGAGGGAGAGGGGCCCAGGCAGCTCAGGCTCTTGGCACAAACGTTGGAGGGGCCCTTCTAAGTCCTTGGATCCCTTGAAAATCTCAGACAAACCTGGGAACCTGAAGTTCTCAGTGGACTGTTTTCCGCTTCTTGCCAAATGCCTCTCCAGCACATGTGGATTCCAAGGTGGATTCTGGAGTCTGCATCTGCCTTGTCTTGAAGCCTTTTGAGGGTTTGCGCCATTTTCAGAATTGGACCACAGTCTCTCTAGTTAAGCCGGGTCTTCCTTCTGCTCACCCTGGTAGGGGTTGGGGAGTGAGCATTTCCAGCCTCCTCCTGCTGAGAAGTGAAGCGGGGGTGTGTGTGCGCATGTGCACGCATGCCCTCTCAGCCCCTCAGAGGAGCACCCCCCCAACCCCTGGGCCTGGGACCCCACCCTCCTATTGCTACGACAACCACTTCTGTGAGGACATGGAGACTAAAGAATTGTGAGCGTGTGGTGGGCAGGGAGCGGACACGCCGGAGGCTCATCGCATTGGTGATCAGAGAACTTTATGATCATGAAGAAGAAAGAGAATGTGTCTTTATCTTCCACCCTCAAAGTAAGGGGGCAGGCAGGCGCACAGGCGGGACAAGGCCACTGACCCTGCAGTCCTGCTCGGCGTGAGCTGCTCCCTCCTGACTGGCTCCTTCTCTCCCTCAGGAGACCAAAGAAGCTTGGAGAGCCCCAGGGGCAGAAGATCCCTCCTTTAACACCTTTGCCGTACCCTTGACGTCCATCCACAGCTTTGCTGATGACCTCGGCTACCAAGGGAGCCAGGAGCTGACCAGTGAGTGCCCCCCACCCGACACCCCACCTCCCCTGGGGTCCCGCACCCCCTGCTCGACCACCACATGGGCAATTTCCTTCAGTACTTCCCCCAGGATGTCCTGCGGCAACCTTCCGTATCTTCTCTACATCCTTCCAATTCACATCTTCACTAAACATGGCTCAAATTTATGGCTTCCAGAATAAAATACCAATAGTAATAGGTAAGCACAGCTTACCTATGCCACTCTGTGAGGTAGATACTATTATTATCCCTATTTTTCAGATAAAGAAACTGAGGCACAGGCAAGTGAAATAACTCTCCCAAGATGACATGCGTCAGAAGCAGACATGCTAGGTGCCCAGCCACGTGTCTGACCCCAAATCCCCCCAAAACTGCTGCCAGTTCATGACCCCCTTTTTACCGGTCCTCCGGGGCTTCCTTTCGACATTTCTGGGCTGGAAACACAGCTGGCAGAGGGACTTAGCTGTTCGTTGATTGGAGGGGGGCCTGTCTGTGTCAGCAGTCACTGACACAGTAAATTGCTCATATTTGAAGTGCAGTTTGGGGGCGCCTGGGTGGCTCAGTCATTGGGCGTCTGCCTTCGGCTCAGGTCGTGGTCCCGGGGTCCTGGGATCGAGCCCCGCATCGGGCTCCCTGCTCCGCGGGAAGCCTGCTTCTCCCTCGCCCACTCCCCCTGCTTGTGTTCCCTCTCTCGCTCTTGCTGTCTCTCTTTCAAATAAATAAATAAAATATTTTAAAAAAATGAAGTGGGCGCCTGGGTGGCTCAGTCGTTAAGCGTCTGCCTTCGGCTCGGGTCGTGATCCCAGGGCCCTGGGATCGAGTCCCGCATCAGGCTTCCTGCTCCGCGGGGAGCCTGCTTCTCCCTCTGCTTCTCTCTCTGTCTCTCATTAATAAATAAATAAAATCTTAAAAAAAAAATGAAGTGCAGTTTGCCGAGTTGACACGTACTCGGGAAACCACCCCAATCACGATAGACATATCCGTCACCCCCAAGTAGAGACAGCCAGAGTTTCCAGAACAGATCCTTTAGCGGGCCAGGATCTGCCTTCCAGAATGAGTCTGTATTTAAGCACAGTATCTGCGTTCGGATCCTGCGTTCAGCATATGCCTGAGCGCAGAGTGCAGGGGCTGTTTGGGGACTTGCCCGTGGTCCCCTGCTGGGGGGCAGGCCTTGCTGACCCAGGGGCCTGCGCCTCCCCTCTGACCTCAGTCCTCCTCTGCCTCACTTGCCCCCTCAGACGCGAAGTCCCGTGTGTCGCGGGATGGGTCAGTGGAGAGCACGCTTCATTCCTCGCTCTCGGATTCCCCAAGGAAGACGCCGGCCTCGCGCCGGCCCGGAGGCAGAAGTGGAGCCTGAGGAAGGACAAGGTGAAGGAGGAGGGCGAGGCCGACAGGGCCCCCGCGCCCGGGCCGTCCCCAAGCCCGGGGCGGAAGCTGTCCCCGGACTGGCGGGCGCGCTGGTGGCAGCAGTAGGAGCGCCCCAGCACGCTCACGTCCCAGACCAGGGCTTCCCGCTGGAGCTTGGCCAGCTTCCACCAGTATGTGTGCGGCTGCTGTGGTGCGTGGGGGTCCGGGCCAGACGCGCCGGGGTCGGTGGCGGGGGTGGGGGTGGGGGTGGTGGCAGCGGGACGGCTAGGTCGACGGGCAGCGCAGGCAGGGGGCTCCGGAGGCGCGCCCAGGAGAGGCTGGGCTGGAGCCAGGAGCACCCAGAATACGATCCTTCATAAATAAAGCCCAGTTTATTTTTGAAGTTGGCAAGTCCCAGCCCCATGATTGCAGGTTTGTCTCTGGATTGACGGATTGGATGATGGATAGGTTGATCTGGGGGGACGCACACCCATTTTCTTCCTCCCCTCCCCGCGTATGTCTCTGAGCCCTTCCTCATCCTTTGCGTGCGTCTCTAGGGGCGAGGCCTTGGGGCCCTGGGGGCCTGCAGCTCCGAGAAGGAAAAGAGCAAAGGCCCCCACGCAGGTGGGTGGGGGACCGTTCTTCAGCCCCTTCACCCTCCAGAGCTCTGCTCTCTGCCGGGGACTCTCAGCTCAAAGCAAAGCTTGTGGGCTCCCCACTTAGTAAATGGTAAGATGGGAACAAAAGCTGTTTGCCCGCGTGGGCTGCAACCAAACCCGCCTGGCCTCCTTCCTCCGCCTGAGTGAGGGGAGAGGGGCCTTGCCTCCAGGACCCTCGACCCTGCCCCTGCCCCGCCCGCTGCTAGTGGGAGGGCAGCTCTGCCAGGGGCAAATGGGGAAATACAGCCGGGTGAGGTGGGGCTCCCCGCAGGTGGCTGAGACAGGGGCTCGCAGGGGAAGGGCAATGAGGGCACGGGACCCACCGGAGGAAGGCTGAGAAGGGCTGTGGCCTCAGGGGCTCCAGGGAGCTCTGTAGCAAGAGCAGCCCCACAAACCTGGGGGCGCTTTTGAGGCCTATTAATCACTTCGAGCTGCCCAGGGTTGGGGGGTGGGTGCCTTCTGCAGCAGGGCAGCCCCCTGTTGATGGAGGGTCCCTGCCGTGAGCTGTTAGCAAGCCCCCCCCCCCGAAGGAGCTGGGGGTGGGTGTGCGGCGGGGACAGGGCTCCGCCCAGGTGCCATCACAGCAGCTCCGATAATTCACTGAGATTTGTTCTGTTTCCCAGGGCATAATTTTTGTAAATGCCCCGTGCGTGCTTGAAAAGTGTATTACAGCAACGTGCCTAAAAATAAAAACAAAAATAAGGGAGAAAGGACAGCTCTTCCTCCAGAAGGATGGCCACCGACAACCACAGGAGTGGGGGGGGGGTGGAAACCCGAGCGCAAGCCGGTCGTGAGTGCTGCAAGCTGGACCGGCGATTGAGAGTAGAATTATGGATGAATATTTAAGAAACAGGGTATCTGCATAGTCTC